CCTGCATCTGGGGCCAAGGGCTGATTAGGGAACTGCGCCTGCCCTGTTCTACATTGGCTTTCCCTTGTTGGGTTGCATTTGTCCTGTCATCTAGATTTACCCTTTGAGGGTGAGTTACTAATTAACTTTTGCAGGCCAACTGATAAGTTCTCATAGACTGTTCCCAGCTCCAGGCAGACGTCAAAGGCAAACAGGCTGCTCACATCCCTTCTCCATCCTCTGGGATGGATCCACATTCATTCCCACTCCATACTTTCATCCTGCTGATGCCCAGAATTCATTAGAGGGGCCTGGAAAGACTGAGTACCAGTAACAGTGGCCATTTGAGAATTCTCAGGCCCCATGTGCCAGCCTTCCTGGGAGCTGAGCTGGCTTTCTGGGTTTTCTTAGACCCAGTTTCACTGCTGCTTCCTCAGGGCTCTTGTTCTCACAGATGCCTCAGGGTGATCTATTCATTAGCAAAGCACTCACTAAAATTGGAGGCCAGGGGATTATAGCCAGGGCTCCTTCATCTGTGCTACTATGCCATTTTATAGGAGACCCCACTCTCCAGCTGCCCTGTCCCCTTAGGGCCCTGGCCAGGTAGTTAGCACAGCCCCCTTCTCCTTTGTTCTCAGGCCGTCCAGGTAGCCCCTTTCTTGGGCTTTGAGTACAAACTCTTCTCTATGGTTCTGGGTTTGGGCAGGATTTTTCCCCAGAATACCACAGGGCATCTGTCAAGCTGCTCACCCCTTCCCCCTGGGGCTGGGGCTGGTGTCCAGCCCTCTCATTTGTGCCTCTCTTGTGTTTGGGGGCGGGGGTCCTTTCCCTTTCCTGCTCTGGGCTCTTTGAGATTTCCCAGTACCCAGCACAGGTTGGCTTTAAGGTACAGCTTTTAGTGTTTTCTGGGGTTTTTTTGTTTGTTTCTTTGGGGCCTTTGGACCCTCTGCTTTCTGGTTTCTCTTGCCTCCTCATTTAGAGAGTATCTCACAATTGTTTGTATCTGGTTGTTGGGCTGATCCCAGGCCTCCTCTAGATCTGGAACCAGGCCAAGCCGGGCTGAGTGGGTATGGGGAAACCCAGAGTCAGCCACTACGTAGTGCTTGCTGAGCTTTGGGCTGTCAGGGCAGCATCCTGGACCTCACTCCTGGGCCTGAATGAGACTCCTTCTTAAGTGTTTTTACAAGTTTGTGTTTTATTTATGGAGTGACTTATTCCTTCCATTCAGAACAGCCCCACCCAGCCATCCTCTCAGCCTCTGGGCTCCTGCCTCCTAAAAGCAGAACCGCCTAGTTGGTCTCCACCCTGTGGTGGGAGCCCAGCCATCATGCTCACGGGTATTTTTCCTCATAAAGTTTATAAGCAGTTATTTATATGAATCCTTGTTATGTCAACTGGTTTGTATTGCGTATTTTGATTACAAAATAAAACATTTAACAGACTGCTCAGTTTTCCATTGCTTTCCATCACCACCATCCCCTACTCCACCCCTCATTTTGGCTTGTTGGAGCCAAAGCCTGGGTGTTTAACCAAGTTCCCCAGACAGCAGCAAGGAGGAACCTTTGGCGGGTCCAGCCTCACATCGTATCTCTGCCACTTCGGCTCCCCTGTCATTCTATGAGGACAAATAGGATCTCTTCCCACACCACTTTCTATTGGGCAAAGCTGCCCTGAGTCATAGAGCAAGTTTGTCATTGGAGTTTCAGTAATCCTCTGAGAGAGGAAGTCGGCTGCCTCTCGGTTGCTGTGAGGAAGTAGCTTCCCCAGAGCACTGCAGGGCACTGTTTGCCTCAGGGAGCTAGGGCTGTCTTCCTGGGCTACTCTCCCAGCCCTGGACCTGGGGGCCCTTCTGAGGGGCATTATGTCCAACCTGAGACAGATAGCTGAGTCTCCAGAGTTGAGCTGGTTGCTGGAGTCTGCTCCCTCCGAACCCCCTGAGTTTTTGCTGAGAGTAGGAGCAGTTTTGAAGTGGAGTTTGCATTTGCATCATGGGGTTGGAATTGAGCTGAGGCCACCCCAAGACAAGCTGTGGATCTTTAACAAGGGCCCAGGCTCTCCGAGTCCTGACACCAACCTCTGCATCCACCCTTTCCAGAGCTAGTAGCCTCTTAACCTTGCCTCCATCTGGCTCTTTGTGGGTGCGGCCCTGTCTTTTGCCACCACCCTTCCTTGTCTAAACCTGCCTATTCGAGTGGAGAGGAACTTCTTTGGGGAAAATCTCTAAGCGGAGGCTGGCCCTGCTTAGGTGTGCCTCCTATCCCGCGGGGTTAGCCATGTGTGGGTGTCCTCCGAGGGAATGTGGGGAGGGGTCCCTTGAAGTGAGCTTCCCTAGCTTGGGAACTTTAGGTTTGGAAACAGCCCAAACCAAAGCCGAGTTGCGCTCTGTGCTATCGTGGCAGCGAGGGTGGGTAGTTGGGTGCAGCAAACTCGGGCGCGGCTGAGGAGCAGGCTTTTGCCAAACCCTCGCCCCTGTCCTCCTGGCCTTTCCCGCCACCGGGTCCCGCCGCAGCCTCACACTGTGAGCCCAGGATCAGGGGAGGGCTGAAGGGGGAGGACCTGCGAGGGACTGGGGTCCTGGGCCCGCTGGCCCCTGAGAGGGAAAGGGGGGGGGGGGATGGCGGCGCTCGGGGCGGGGTCGCGCAAGCCCCGCCCCGGCCGCGCGCCTGCCCGTGCCGCCCATTGGTCCCGAGAGCAGTGACTCGCGGGCTGAGCAGGAAGGAAACCGCTCCCGAGCGCGGCGGCGGCGTCGTCTCCAGGCCGTAGAGCTGCAGCCATCGCCTCCCGTCCGCCTGTCGGCCCGTCGGTCCACCCACAGCATGAGCGGCCTGCGCGTCTACAGCACGTCGGTCACCGGCTCCCGCGAAGTGAGTGCGCGCCCCGGGCCCGCGCTGGGGGAGAGCGTGGGCAGCCGTGTCCCGGTGCTCCGGACCCGGCGCCCGGGACCCGCCCCCAGGGCGAGGGCGGGGGGCGACGAGGTGCAGGGCACGGCCTCCCGGGTCGGGTCCGGGGGCGGGCTCCGCGCCCCATCCTGAACCCCTTCATCGGGCATCCTGGGTCCTTAGCAGCATCAGCGCGCCACGGGATACCCACGCGATGCCCACGCCCATCCTCCGTCACTTGGACACCCATCCTGTGCACCCCCACTACCAGCTGACCCTGACCACAGCCTGATGTTGCCCTTCCTCTCCTCCTCCGTGTGTGTACCTGTACCTGGGGCGGGGATGACCGCTTACCAGCCTCCACCCAGGCCTGCCCTGCCTTCCCCTCGCTGAGCTCCTGACTCTCCCCATCCAGAACTTTATCCCACTTCCCTTCATTCTGACCCCCTCGCCCATGGTTGGTGGTCCCTCTGTCATCCTGCACCACTGAAAGCCTGACTCATCCTCCCAACTCCTAGTGGCCAGAACCTCCCCCAGGGTGTGGAGGGGGACAAGGGGACAAAAGCTCCTGGCCACAGTTCCTTTCTCTCTGCCCAGGGTTCCCCCCATAAGTCCTCCAGTATGCTCGCTAACCCCTGCCCACCCTCTGCCCCCAGATCAAGTCCCAGCAGAGTGAGGTGACACGCATCCTGGATGGGAAGCGCATCCAGTACCAGCTAGTGGACATCTCCCAGGACAACGCCCTGCGGGATGAGATGCGAGCCTTGGCGGGCAACCCTAAGGCCACCCCACCCCAGATTGTCAACGGGGACCAGTACTGTGGGGTATGGGCCTGGGGGTTGGGGGTGGGGGGAGTGTTGGAGGAGGACCCTAGCCAGAGTCAGACCTGAGACAAAGCACCAGCACTCAGGTGACCACCCCTCGCCTCCCCTCCCCCAGGACTATGAGCTCTTCGTGGAGGCTGTGGAACAAAACACGCTGCAGGAGTTCCTGAAACTGGCCTAAGTCAAGCTGGCCCACTGGACTCCATCAACACATTCCCCCCAGGCATCGCCCACCCGGCCGTGAAAGACCTCGTGACCAACTAAATCCCTGTTATTCCTCACCTTCTGACCTGGAGCCCCTCCCCCAACCCAAGCCCCTTCTCCCCTGTCGCCCCCTCTCCCCATTCAGAGGCCACATTTCCTTACCCACTAGTCTCAGAAATTGTCTTAAGCAACAGCCCAAGTGCTGGCTATCCTCAGCCAGGCCCTGGGGCTGCCACCCTGCCTGACACTGGCTGATGGGCACCTTTGTTGGTTCCATTAGTCAGGGCTCTGCCAAAAGCCCCGCAATCCCCAACCTGGGACCACCCTAGAGACAATTAAATGTCCCATTCCATTAGCACTGTGTCTGTTTGGTGTGGCCTGGGCATCCTGTGGCCCTGCTTTGAGCAAGGCTGGTAGATGTGACTGTGCTGAGGCTGTGCTCCTGTTGGCAGGTCAGTTGACCTGTCCCCTGTGTGGCATCTGTGTGTGTGATAGTGCATGTGTGTGATTATATGTCCGGTACACACGTATCTGTGTAGACCAGTGGTTTCTGGCAACAGTGTGGGTGGGTCACCCTCCAGTTCACACGCATGTGATGGTGTCCATGCCACGCCCATGCCTTGGTGTGTACTGCACATTTGCATGCTTGTCCGTAATGTGGCTGTGCCATGTGGCTGCCTGCCTGTGTTCTAGCAGATTGGCTAAGTGTGGGTGTGTCATGGGAGTGGGTACACAGCTGCAGTCCTGCCAGTTTGTGGACAGTGGCTTTGTGCATAGTGTTGAGGAAGTGTCCCCACGTGCTTGTGGTTCTGTGTATGTGCACACAGGGATCTGCTAGCTGCACACTTGCACTCATGAGGCTCTGCTACCCCAGCTGAGGCTGAGCTGGGGCCCACCTTCCCTCCACTAGACTGCCTTCCCTCCATTGGATCTGCTTAGCCCTTCTGGGGAGAAGGAGGAACCTAGAGGACAAAGACCCAGCGTCAGGCCCGCCAGCTGGGGATCGAGTTACGGAGGGGCGGGTCAGCACCGCCCCCTCCCCTAGCCCAACTGGGCCCCAGCCTTCCCTGGCGCCTAGCTGGGCTGTTCCGCCAAGACAGAGTCACGGAGCAGCCAGTGTTCGTGTTGGGGCGGGCGCTTTATTTGGAGCAGGGGCCAGGGTCTGGGCCTGGGCCAGGGGCGGGCGGTGGGGCCCGGGGCGCCCGCAGCAGCAGCGCTGCGTTGGGTACCAGGCCTGCAGACTGCAGTGTGAGTGTGTCGTCGTGGTAGACGGTGGGCGGGAACGCACTGAAGATCTCGAAAGTGGTGGCGTCCACGGCCCTGGGGGACCAGGCAGAATGGATCAGGCCGGTTCGTGGGGCCAGAGCCCCCCATGTGGCCGCCAGCCTGCCCCATGCCCACCTGGCCTGTGCGAGCAGGGCACGCACGTCGCCAACAGTGTCCTCGGGCCGCATCATCAGCAGGAAGGCCTGTTCGCCATTCTCAGACTTGATGCGCAGCATGGAGAGCGGGGGCGCTGGTGAGTCGGGTGACTCTTGGCTCCTGCGGGTCCAGAGGCCATCAGTGCTCACCCCCACCCCCATGGCCCAACCCCCTGAGTCCTCACCTCTCTATTCTGCCCTCACCTCTGACGCTCAGCAGCCAAGGCAGGTGTCTCCACCACGATTTCCTGGATCCGGGCAGGCAATGGGCAGCAGCTCTGGAAGGCATCGATGGAGAGTGGACAGAAGCCCTGGGCCCTGCCAGAGTCACACCCTTCCCCCCAGCCCTTAGAGGGGACTTATCCCTGACCAGGAATGGATGAGACCAGTGAGCCAAAAGAGGAGGGTGTGTTCTGTGTGAACTGGGGCCCAAGGAGAGAAAATGAAGGGAAGCTTTGGGAGGTGGCCGCATTATTCCCCCCAAGAAGCCTTGAGGTCCCTCAGTCTAGTGGGGGAGACAGAACCCCATACAGACATGACCAAGCCGGATGCCTAACTGCATGAGTCAGGGAAGGCTTCTCTGGGGAAATGACACCTGAGCTGTGACTAAGATGAGAAGGAGTCCTTAGAAATGGAATTGGGGGGATATTCCAGACAGCATGGGCAAAGATCCCCAGGTCACGGAAGGCTTCCAAGAAAAGGTGATACATTTGAGAAAGTGTCTGCAGTTCATGTGGCTGAAGCTGGAAATCAGGTTGGACTGGAAGAAAGAAAAGGTTAGAGGTGGGAAGAGGACCAGCAATAGATGACAGCCTTGGGTGCCGAGATAAGAGCTTGGCCTCACCCAAGAACCACTGGAGGGTTTCAACAGGGAAGAGCCAAGATCCAATTTACATTTTCAAAAGAGCACAGAGGCTGCTGGCGGAGGATGGCTGGCAGGGCAGGAGTGGAGGCGGGAGGCCAGTGAGGGGCCCCTGCAGTTGTCTGGGAGAGATGCTCTGGAGCCTAGGCTAGGGTGGTGGGCAGAGAAGGGATAGAGTCAGGAGAAGTTCTGGGGATCAACAGATCAGATAGGACTTGGCAATGTAGGGTGAAACGTGCAGAGTCCTGGGAAACTGAGGTTTGGTACCTTTCACAGGGAGAAGCAGCAAGATGGGGAGTGAGAATGATGAGTTCTGGGAGGGCCAGGAAGGGGTATCCAGGACTGAACTGGATATTTTGGTCTGGATCTCCAGGGGTTGGCCTGGGACTTGGGCTCGCCTCTGGCCTAGACTCTGACTTACCCCCTCTTACAGCCACACCCCTGCCAACCCGGCTGCTCTCTGGGTCCCAGCCCAGAGCCCTCATCAGCTCGACTGTTTCCAGGAGGCAGTGGAACAGCTCTGAGGGACTCATCTCTCCATCCAGGCCCTCCTCAGGGGCCCTCAAGCCTGAGCCTCCAGATATGCCACTGCGCTGGTAGGCTGGGCCAGGGTAGATGGTAAAGCCCCCCAAGAAGGCTGGGGGAGCTAGGGCTATCCTTACCTGCAGGGTGTCCCGGATGGGGCCCCGGATGTCAATCACCTCGCCTTGCCGGATCACAAACTTGGGGAGCCTGTTCAGAAACTTCTCGACGGTCATCCTGGAGCCTGCAGGGAGGGCAGTGGAAGCCTTGGCCTGGGGAGGGACTGTGAGTGATGGTGGAGGAGGCCACCTGGAGCTTGTCCTGCATAGCACTCCCACCACCTAGCTCAGCCTCAGGGCTAAGCTCACCTGGGTGCTCCATCCTGTCCGAGGGCTTGCGAATCCTCTGCCAGCTCACCACGCGGCCCTCACCTGGGAACGGGTCCAGCCCATTCTCTGGGTAGACCTGATTGCGCAGGTCACTCACCTGGCAAGAAGGAAGGGAGACAGCGGCGGGCCCAGCTCTTCAGCCCTGGGCTCCACCCCCACCCCTGCTTGCCCAAACAGAGGCTCCAGGAATAGGCCCAAGGGATGATCTGATGCAATCCCGATTTTACAGATGAGGAAACTGAGGCTCTGGGAGAGAGCAGAACAACTACAGTTCATGCTGCTATTGCCCACCTGGGCCCTGCTCTTGCCACAGGCACCCCTCATCATGCCAGCTGGAGCCACTGTACTAACATCCTCCTCAGGGAGCCCCTCTCAGGAGCCGACAGGGAGGGGAGGGATGAGGGTGTTAGGAGAAGCAAAGCCCATCTTGGCATGGACTGCCTCAAACACCTCCAGTCATGACTCATGCTATTTTCCAAGCTGCCGTGGCACACGCTCCCTCACGTGCCCTCAGTGGGGAACTAACGCACCCCACTCTGGAACGCTGCCTCATGTACTCCCATCACAGTATGCTCATCTCCCCTCCCACCCCCCAGCAGGGGACTGGCTCCATCTCATGTCCTTTAGTCCTAACATTTGCCCCCATGGCACTGCCTTCCACTTCAACCAGATGGCTTCAGGAGCCTCTGGGGGAAGCCGGGCCACTTTTGCATAGACTCCTCGGGGACCCCAGGCTGTCAAGGTGTCCTGAATGCTGGGGAGGAGGGGCAGTGGTCCCACATGGCTGAAGGCTGTGCCTTCAGATTACCAGCAGGTGGCGCTGCCTGCTGCTCAGCCACAGGCCATCACCACTGCTGATGTGGCAACTGTGGCCACAGCAGTCTCCCCACTCCCTTGCCAGCCTGGCTTCAGGCTCACCCTCCTCCCGAGGTCATCAGACAGGGGTCCCCAGAGGTGGGGCAGTGGCTTCCCGCCTCAGACTGAATGAAGCCTGGGGAAGCTGTTTATCCCCACCCCCTCCAAAATCCCACATACGGAGTAGGTGGTTTGAGGAGCAACCCGTCACCTTGAAGGGGACCCCATCAGGGTACAGCCGCTGGAGCTCTGAGGGGAAGAAGCCATCCAATATATCTCGGAGGCAGCGCTGCAGGGGGAGAGGAAGGGTGAGGCCCGGCTGGACCTGTGCAGTGCTCCCCACCCTGTTTCCTGTCTGCATGGCAGGCCCTGGGCCCTGGCACAGTCTGGAAATATTGAAAGCCCCAGGACTTGGGTAGGGGTACTTCTGCAAGTTGCACATGAGCCTGGGTGCCCGTGGAGGGCAGGCTGGGCCAGGGGTGAGCTGGGACCCACTATCTCCAACTAATGGTGAACAGGGGTGGGACCCCAGAGTGGCCTGAGTGTATACTGGCCTGTCTCCCCTGTCCCCCACTCCTACCTGTGTGGAGGGATCATAGAAGGGCCGGAAGGGCCCATCGAACATCATGATGCCATTCCGGTAGAGCTTCAGTGGGATGGGCTCAAGGTCACGGAGCTGTACTGCGCTGGGCAGTGGAGTCACCTGGGTGTCACCATCTACCAACTCACTGAGATCCTTCAGGCTGGCCAGAAGCCTGTCAAAGTCCACCTCGGGGGGCACCAATGAATCCCCTGGCAAAGACGGTAGACACCCATAAGCCTCTCTTCATGCCCTAGCAGCCCTGGTTTCCACGGCCCCTCTCATGCTGGGCAGTGGCCTTAGCATCTCCTTAAGTGACCACCTGGAGAGGAAGGACAACTAATAGTAGGTAATAACAACAGCGATCTTTTATGGAGCACTCACTTTGTGCTAGGGGTTTAATATCCACTATCCCATTCTCTCTTCATACCAGCCCTATGCTGCAGGGGCTACAATCAGCCCCATGTTTCAGATGAGGAAGCTGAGGCTTAGAGAAGGTTAATGGCTTGTCTAGGGATGCAGTCAATGGCAGGAGCAGGATCTAATCCCAGGTCTGTCTGTGTCAGGCACTGGCTTAGCAGCTGAAAAGCACCGTGCAGAGCTCCCAGCTCTAGATCAAGCCTGTCGGGTTCTAATCCCAGCTCCTCCACCTCTACCTGTGTGACCTTCGTCAAGTCATTTAATGCTCTGCCTCACAGCATTCTCTTCCAGAGGATAATAGTGTCTGCCTCCCAGGATGGCTGTAAGGGTCCAAGAAGATGACCATGTAAGGGCCAGCTGGGAACAAGCACTCTGTCCATGTTAGTTATTGTTACCAACTCTACCTTGCACAAATAGACCTCAGGCCAACCCAGAGGCTGTGAGGTGGGGGTTATTTATCTTCATTTTACACATGAGGAAACAGGCCCACAGAGATGACAAATGACTTGCCCCAGGCCACTCGGCAAGTTAGAGGAGGGGCTGACTAGAGTCTGTTTTCCATCCAACTGCACCCTCAGGAGAGGGATGCTGGGGTAGGGACAGATGGCTATTAGGGAGGATGTCGGGACAGCTGCTGGATAGAACAGATATGGAGCAGATCTTGGGTTGTGCAACTATTTCTGGGTCACAGATCCCTTTGAGAAGCTGACAGAAGCTCTGGCTTCCTCTTCTGTAAAATGTGTTGCACATATAACTGTGCATGAGCTTCAGGGGGTGCAGAGGGGGTGGGAGGCAGCCATGACAGATGCCAGAACAGAAAGGGTAGAGGGCAGGTGGGATGCTGGTGGGGGATAGGGCAGGCGTCTGTTCTCAGTTCTTGAAGGGACCTGGCCCCCAAGTAAGTCATCTGCTAGGGTGTAACCCCACAAAACACCAGTGACTTTCTTGGCCTTCTTAGAAGCTGTTTTTCACCAGGACAGCCAGGTTGCTGCAGGATGTGAGTCAGGACTCTGAGGACCCAATTGTTTCCCCGACACTGGTGCAGAGGCTGCACTAAGTACAGATGTGGGTGGCCCTGTTTCCTGTTGTCTTTGCAGCTGCTGAAACGGTAGGCACCAGCTGGCTTTCCCCTCGCCCCTACATGTCCTACTGTTGTAGGGGCTGCACCTGCCCCCACCTCCTCCTGGGGTCCCCTGGAGTCCCCGAGATTCCCAAGAAAAACTCACAGAACATCCTGGGCATCCCTGGTATGACAAGACACTGTTTTTCTCTAACAACTAACTACTTTCAGAAAACATTGGTAAACCTAAAAATAACAAGAGAAAAGCTCTCATCTCCTTCATCACCCGCCCCCTCCCTACGTTGCCACAGGTGGGGAAAGTGAGGCCTAGAAATGTCGGATGACTTGGCCCCAGTCAGCCGCACCACGCAGAACCAGGAGGACCACTCAGATACGCTGACTGCTAATCCAGCTGCCTCCTGGGGCCAGGGCTTGTTCAGGGAGCTGACGGGCATGGGTGGTCCACAGGGGAAGGGGCAGGCAGAAGCCCAGGGGAGGATGCCAAAAAACAAAGAGAGGGAAAAGAGAAGTTTGCAGAGAAAATCAGCCCAGAAGGCTCTCGGCCAGTGGGGCTAGGGCATGAAGTGAATGCAGGGTAGGCCAGGCAGGTACAGGACGCAGCGGAGTGGAGGTGAGACAAGGGGCCCAGGAGAAGAAACCGCAGCTCTGGGCAAACGAGAGCTGAGAGAACAAGGCAGGAAGAGCCTGGCATCGCCACCACACAGCAAGGAGTGCTCAACAGAAGCCTGGCCCAGTGCAGCCAGGTCCCACGGGGTGAGGCAGGTCAGAGGTCAAGCAACGCATTGCTCTCTGAGTGGCAGCTTTCCTTTCGATGGAGTGGGCAGATAACAGGAAACTTCATCCCACCCGCAGGGTCCAGCAGTGAACTGACTGTAATGACACACGTAGACTACCACTCCCATTTTACAGAAGAGGAAATTGGGCCTTGTAAAGTGACATGCCCCAGGTCACGCAGCTTGCAGAGCCCAGGGGACTCTAGGCCTCAGTTCTCAGTGACCATGCAGGCTGCCTCTCAGCGTTGGTTCTTCGGACACTGCTCACTGGCATCCCTTTCCAAGGAGGGGTGCTGTGCAGGGAGATCATCTCTGAGGCCTCATCGAACTTTGAGAGCCTGTGATTTTATTAAAAAGGGGAGTAGTAGGGCCGGCCCCGTGGTTTAGCGGTTAAGTGCGCGCGCTCCACTACTGGCAGCCCGGGTTCGGATCCCGGGCACACACCAACGCACCGCTTCTCCGGCCATGCTGAGGCCGCGTCCCACATACAGCAACTAGAAGGATGTGCAACTATGACATATAACTATCTACTGGGGCTTTGGGGGGAAAAAAAAAAAGGGAGGAGGATTGGCAATAGATGTTAGCTCAGAGCCGGTCTTCCTCAGCAAAAAGAGGAGGATTAGCATGGATGTTAGCTCAGGGCTGATCTTCCTCACACACAAAAAAAAGGGGGAGTAGGGAGGCATGGAGATCAGGTCTAAGCTCCTTGGCCCAACTCCTGAGACCCTCAGAACCCGGGCTCCCCAGCCTCCCCTCAATATGCTCCGTCCTTCATGCTCTGCAGCCACACTGCCAGGGCTACTGCTTTCAAGCTGTGTGACTCTGGGGAAGTAGGCCGACCTCTCTGGGCCTCGGCTTCCTCTTCTATAAAATGAGGACAATAACAGTCTCCACTTCACAGGGTTGCTGTGAGGCTCAGAGTAAGTGCCTGGCAGATAGTGGCTGTTGTTGTCACTAACACCTCACGTTCTTGCTCATCACTGGGCTCTCACCTCCTCTGAGAGGCCTTGCCAGGAGCCCCCCTCCCTGAGGCTGGGCCCCTGTTCCTCTTGGGCTCCTGGAGCCTTTGGGCCCATTCCCTTGGCCCTTGTCACAGGCCGTTGTCATTTTCTGTTTGCTTGTCTTTCCAACCACACTGGCTACTCCTTGAATGCAGGCTAGAGCATCCAGCATGTACTGGACCCATCCCTCCATCCCGCAATCCACCAAATATGTCTGGAGCACCCATGCTCCGTGAGGCCCTGAGAACCACGGCTGTGCCCATGCCAAGGATCCTGCCCTCCTCAGGCTCATACCTGAGTGAAGGAGACAGGGTGACAAACAGTGACAATGGTATGTGGTAAGTGCCACTGTGGGGGCTGCAGAGCCCAGAGGAGGGCCAGACCCTGCCACTATCAGCAGATGAGTGGTGGGCCTGCCCCGGGCCAGGAGGACCACCTGTGGCTGCAAAACACCAAGGTAGTGCCTGAGGTGTCCCAGCACGCCCGTCCCCACCACTTCAGGCAAAGGCCGTTGAACAGGAAATAGACCCACTATTTCCACACACCTGCAAGCCAGACCCTGCTCTGGGGACTTGACCTATATTCACTCTGCTCCTCAGAGGAGGCACGAGGAGAAAACAGGCCCTGAGTCTGGTCACTGCCAGGGCCACAACCAACTCTCTGGCCCCTGCTGTTCAGCATCGTGCCACCGGTCCCCACCTCATGCTGTGCAGAGGATTGACCCAACATGCTCTGACTGTCCAGGCCTGGGCACCACCCGCCAATCATGTGCATGTGCACATGCCCTGGCCTATGGGCCAAGCACTGTGCTGGGCACTCTGGGGCATAACAGGGGCTAAGCAACAATGGCTCATGGTCACTGACCCTCTACCACCGTCAGCCCACAAGAACACTCCACGGGCGCTACGGCATTCGGTGCTCTCAGCGGTCCAGGGCTCAATCACACCATCTCCTCATTTCACAGAAGAGGACTTGGACTCAGAGAGGTGAAGCGGTTTGCCCATGAAGGGTCTGATCTGACCCAGGCCCCCGCTCCTCAGCCGGAGCCTTTGATGCTCTCACTCTAACACAGAGCCTCTTCCCACACACCCGGGGCGGGGGGGGGCGCCGGGGACAGCTGCATGGCAGCCCAGCACCTGGCACGCAGCAGGCACTTCACACCCATTGGCTGAAGCAGGTCGGTTTGAGCTGAGCTTCAAAGGAGGGGCAGAAAGGGGGCAAAGCACTTCAGGGGCCACAGCACAGGCCTGAGGGAGGGGTAGGGGAGTGAGGAGCCCAGCCCACCTGGGGTCTAGGCCAGGCCAGCTCCAGGGGCTCAAGGGTGGCCCAGGGAGAAAGGAAGCCGGCTACAGCCCACGGTGTCAGCATGGCTTCCTGAGTGGGGTCGGGGAAGAGCCTCCCACCCGGATGCCGGAGCCTGGGGCTTGGGAAGTAGGGTGGTGGGAGGGGGGGTGCTGGCAGGGGGAGGAGGAGATGTAGTTGGAGGGCAGGAACTCGATGAGGCATGAGGGGATTGAGGAGCTCAGAGGGGGACAAACGATGGGGAGTGAGGAGTTGACCAGAGCTCTCAGCCCTGAGGCTCTACACCTGGCCCCTTGGTGGTGTGACCAGAGCAGGACTGTCCCTTTCATGTCTCCGCATACCCTGAAGCACCTGGCACCCATCCTGTTTGATGCTCAATATACTGGTGGGGAGGGGCCGATGATCCAGCCTGAGGCCAAGCCCTTGCAAGGCCTCCCCTCCACGAGCCCCCTTCATGGGCGCCACTGACCTCTTCCCTAAGGCAAGAGTCCCAGGCTCTAGAACATTTGGATCAGCCCCAGTTTGGCCCAATAAAGATGCCCTGGCTCACCCATCCACTGGCCTGCAGGGAGTGGTATCCAACAGAGGGAAAGCCAGAGAAAGAGCCAGAGCATCACGGCCAGCAAGAGGCCGGCTTTGTGGACCCGAGGGCCCTTGGGGAGGAGCAGGCTGGCACCTGTGACAAGGCAGTGGGGAGGGGATGGGGAGGAGCCAGGACAGAGGGGAGTCCCAGGAGGAAAAGCTGCTAGAAATGAAAAACATGTTGTTTATCTGGCAGAAGAGCTAAATTGAGGCCCCCTCAGGTTGAAGAATCAAAAAGCAAAAGGGTTGCACAGAGAGTGCGCGGCCAGGGCCTCTCACGAGGGCCTTTAGCTTCAGAGCTGGCCTACTTGGAGCATAAACAGCACGGAGCAGAATGGGTCTGCTCTCTTTTTCGGGGGAAGCGGGTAGGAATCCACAGAGCCAGGTCTGGAAACCAGCTATCTGGTCTGACACCCTCCACAAAGGAGCAGGAAAGCCCCCCTGGCCAGGAGGAAGGCTGCCCTCCAACAAGTTGGCAGGGCCATGTGAGGCCTGAGCCCAGCTCACCATGGCAGGGGCTGCGGGTACAGTGCTGGCAGGCCTCTGGCCCTGGACCCCAGAAACAGCCATTCTTACAGCTCTGGCAGTCGCCTGCCAGAGCCTCACCTCTCAAGCAGGCGGGGGTCCCTAGAGAACTCTTCCTACAGCACTCCGCCCACGGCTCACTTAGTGCAATTAAGCTGTTGGCATGCCCAGGCCTGCATCGTTCTGGGCAGCAGGGCCATGCCCCCACTGCCTCCCCGGCATGGCCCGGTGCCACACAGCTTCCCAGCTTTGCCGTGTCCCAAATGGACTCAGCATCTTCCCCCACAGCCGTGCTCCCTAGGGTCATCCCTAACACTCCTCCCGTCTGCTCCCTTCTGTACTATCAGTCCCCAAGGCCACAGATTCCACCTCCCAAATCTCTCTACTCTGCCCCTTTTCACCATCCCTCCCTGTACCACCCTCCGTGCTGGATGTCATCTCATCTGCCTGGATGACTGTAACCACCTCCCAAAAGGGGCCTTAAGTCTTGCCCCCCTCACTCAACAGTCTTCAGACTTCTTAAGTGCCTCAGTTTACCCATCTGTAAAATGGAATAACCCCTGGCCTACGTCAAGGCTATTTACGAAAATACTTTGAAAACTGCAAACGTTGCACGAATGCAAAGTGATGTTTTTAGAACAAGCGGTGAAGAAGCTGTGCCCTGAGGTGGAGGAGGATCTGGCCAAAGCTCAGGCTTGAATAGGAAGTAGAACTTGCAAGTTTTGAGTCTGGCTTTTTACTCAATAGGAAACCTATGAAATCAAGAGAGTGTGGTCATCTTCCAAATAGTTCCCTTGGGAGCCGTGCTCATGTTCCCATGAGACCGCCACTGCCTTCTGACTACGGAAAACAATAAGAGTTCGAACTTGTTGACTCGCTGACATGCAGGGTCACTGCTAGGTGCTCTATGTCTAACCCCCTCACTCCTCGTAACTCTGCGAGGAGGACTACGTCCCCATCTATTGATGAGGAACTGGAAGCTCTGAGAACGAAGTCACATGCCAAGTCACACCTGGAACAGGCGGTGGAGTGGGGATGAGGACCCAGGCTGGCCCCGCTCCAGAGCCTGGAGAAGTACCTTCTGAGTGACAACTTCCATTCTTTGAAGAAAATAGACCTGGCTTTCAGACATGGCCAGTTCTATGGCCCCGAATCTATGGGGCACATCCCTACATATGAGCAGTCGAGTTAAAAGCACAAAGTGGGGGAGTCCCACAGAAGCAGGCAGACTTCAGTGGTCTGGCTCATAAACGGACCTGGAGAGAGAGTCTAAAGAGGCAGCTGAGCCCTGGAACCGAGGGGCAGCTTCCAAAGCAGAGGGACAGCTTTTAATGGCAACGGCTTTTGGATGGATGATGTTTTGTAATTTTGTAAACTACGGTGCCTGAGGCAAATGAGGTCTTGTTACCTCTTGTATCTCTGGGTCTCTGGAGCAAGCAGAGAGTCTGAGGTGAGACCAGAGGAAGAAAGTGGTGGTAGGTTAGATGGTCAGTGATGGAGGCCAAGGTCTTTCCTTCCTGCCGCTATGTCAGGGGCAAGGTGTGGGTCGTCTCAAGGCACCTTGTGCTTAGAGGGAAGGGCAGGAATGAGATGGCCTCTGGACGGCTGCTGGCCAACAGGAAGCTGTGGGAGAATTCCCTTTGTAGGAAGGGCCAGGGACAGACCCCCAACTCTACCTGGCTTCCAGAACTTCTTGGCTGTCATCCAGTCCTGCTTGCCATCCTCTGAGTCTATCTTGTCCTCCGAGTCCTCCTGGTCCACATGTTCGCCTACCCACTGCAGGCCGTAGTCACCGAGGAACCGCTGCGGGGAGAGAAGGGGGAGATGCCAGGGGACCATGAGCTCAGCCCCCTCCCAGGCAAAAGGTGACATCAGCCCAGTCCCCAGCCTCAGGCCTCAGCACCCAGAGCCAACTGGGCAGAGAGGATGGGCCCGGGGATCTCCGCCACTTCCTGTCTGTGACCTTGGAAAGCCACTTCACCTCCTAGAGCCTCAGGTGCCTCCTGGTAAAATGGAGATGACAGTGCCTGCCCCATAAGTTTGTGAGGAGGACTCAGTAAGGTACTGCACATCAAGTACTTAGCACAGTGCCTGGCACAAGTAAGGCAGCCATTATGGCGGTAGGGACCCATGTGGGTCTGGCCTGAGTATGAGGGGCAGGAACACCCAGCTCTGCAGGACGGAGAGGACGTGGCCACCCACACACAGCCTCCCTAGAGCTGGGCCTCACATCCCCTTGGCCACAGGAAAACTTCTGAGTAGTCTACACTTCCTGTTGCTGCTTCCTCAGTTCTCTCTCCTCAACCCACTTCAACCAGGCCTCCATCCACAACTCACTGAAACTGCCCATGTGCAGCCACCAACAGCCTGCCCAGCGCCAAACCCAGTGGGGACACTTCTGTCTTCATCTCTTACAAAACATTTTGTTCCTTTTCAGTTTCAAATTGCCAACCGTCTAACTTAGATGTCTAATGGGCATCTCAAAATAAACAGTCATGACTCCCTGCCCCCACCTCCAAACCTCTTCCCCTCCAGGTCTTCCAGTCTCAGTCAACAGCACCCCCTCCACCGGGGCCTCAGCCACGGCCCATTCCCCTCTCTGCCAGGCCAGGATTCACAAGGCCTGCAGGCGCTGCCTCCAAAGCAGGCTCCAATCCATCCACTCTGCTCCATCTCCTCTGCCACCACCCTCCTTCAAGCCACGGTCACTCCCTCTTGGACAACTCAAACTGCGCTTCTACGTGCCTTCCCCCCGTCCACCCCTCTAACTGAAACCTTCCTGTGGTCTCCCATTCTCCAGGAACAGAATCCAACGCCACACGAGGGGTGATGGGCGAGCCCCCACCACGCGGTCCCTGCGGCTTCTTCAGCCTCTTCTCGCTCTCCCCCTTGCTCCCACAGCCACCCACCACTAGCCAAGTTTACATGGGAAAGTGAAGCCTTTCATCTCTTCAGCCTGGATCCTTTCCCTGGTCCTCTCCTCATCCTCTAGCTTTCTTGCCCAATGTTGCCCCGCAGAATGGCCCAATTCCCAATTAGTTTTTATTGTGTCACCCATTTAAATAGTTCATGTACTCTCTGTTCTTGTATATCTTCCTGTGTACTTATGTCTCTGTCCCCTCCAGACTGTCAGCCCCATGAGGACAGGGACCACGTCCACATCCCAATGCCTGGCAGTGTGCCTGGCACACAGGAGATACTTTGTACGAGTTTTAATGAAGCAATAAATGTGTGAACGTGGCAGCCATGAGGCCCTCCGCCCTGAGGCTCTGGGACGCTGCTCTCACCTCCTGTGGCAGCTGCTCAGAGAAGCCCCACGGGCTGCCAGCATTCCCCACAGGCAGCTCAGGGGGCAGCTGTGTTTACCCTCAGCCCCAGGTATGAGCAGGCCCAGGTGGGAAGGGCCCTCAGCTATAGCTGCGGCTTGTGGGGTTTGCTTCTCTGGTCTTCAATTAGGTTGGGGCTTTGCCTCAGCTCTGAGCAGAGAGGGAGAGGTTAGAGCCCAGGAAGAGCCTCTGGCGGGGCCCGTGAGGGAGTGGGGGCACTCAGGAAGCATGCTTGCCCAGGACCCCGCTTTGGGTGTAGGGTCCCTCTAGTTCAAGCCTTGCTGCATGGATGGGTGAGTGAGTGGGGGTAACAAAGATGATACTGGGTGAGTGAGATGCCACTTTCAGAGGCAAGGGATGGCCAGGGCCAACTCAGTAAACACGTACGGCCAGGCGCCGGGCTAGGTCCTGGGCACGCAGCCATGAGCAGGAGAAGGTAACCGCCCCCCCCCGTGGCGTTCACAGTCCCCCAGGGGAAGAGAGATGAGGCACTAAGAAAACACAGGACGAAACCCTGCCCTGTCAGAGGTAAGGGAGGCCCCCCGGGGAAGGGGCCCCACCTCAATTTGAGACTGAGGATGAGTGACAACCCGGCAGGGTAAGGCGGAAAAAAGTATTTCAGGCAGAGGGAACAGCATGGGCCAAGGTCCTGAGGTGGGAAAGAGGTCGATGTAGTCAAAGAACCAGAGGCAGGTCCCGGTGGCTGGAGGGGAGAGTAGTTTGAGGTGAGACTGAAGAGGTAGGCAGGGGCTAGCCCAGGCCAGAAAGGAGGAGTGTGCTCCGGCACGGGACACCTCCCTGGCTCTTTCAACTCTGGGTTAGTCCTGAGTAGGGAACACAGGGCAGGGCCCTTGTGTGGGATGTGCGGCGAGGGGGCCCAGAGAAGTGGGCTCTGACCAAGTTCCTGAGGGGCAGGGAGCCCTCGGCCGCTGCCTCTCTCACCTCCATCTCCCCGACCTGCCGCTGCAGCTGCGTGCACATCGTCTCCAGCTCCTCCTGCCGCTGCAGGGTCGCCTCACCTTCAGGGAGAGACTGGGAGGGGTTCCGCTGCCCCAGAAGGAGGCTGCCAGGCTCCCTCTGGCCTTGACCAGCGCTCTGCTCTGAGGATCATCTGGAGAAGCTGCCCCTTGAGAACTCGAGGGATCCCCTGAGAACTGCCTCTGGGCCTCATCCCCTGACCTTGAGAAGGGATGTCCTGACTGACTCTCAGGAGGCCACCACGCTCCCAGAGCGAGGCTCCCGAGGGGGCGGTGTCTCCTCCACACTTTCAATGGTGCACCCTGTGCTCAGGGCTGGGCTATGTCTGCACTCAGGGGACTCAGTCCCACATAGGAGGGACCGTCTGGGTATGTCACTGCCCTTCTCTGGGCTCAGCTACCACAGGACTCAGCTTGATGCTCTTGGAGCCCTGATGCCCCAGGGATCATCAGCCCAGGGGAGGTGCAACAGGAGGGCCAATCGGCCCGCCGAGAGAGCCTCTTACCTTGGTGCTCCTGGAAGGTCTGCATCAATTCCTCCAGGGCCCGTATCTTCCGATCCTGTGGCAACAAGACATGTAGGGGAGGCAGGCCTGGTGGTTCCCAGAGCCCCAGGGAGCCCCTTCCAGATGGGAACATCCAGAATTTTTGCCTCTGTGGGGCACTGGGGAGCTTAAAGCCCCTGCCCCTGCCACCATTTGGTAAAGCCATGGCTCCCGCACCTCAAATGACCCTTGTGGTTCCACTGAGGTGGAGGGAAGATGTGGAGCACACTTGAGTGCCCCAATACTCAGCAGCCACTGCTGCAACCCGACCTTGCTCAGCTGTGGAGAAGACTCCTAGTCTGTCTACTCAGGCCCCAAGGACCCAGATCAGTCCAGGACCACACCTGGCCCTCAAACTGGGTGGTTCAGTGGGGGAGATGGTTCTAGAACCCATCCACCCTGGCCTACTGCAGTAGTAGCCTCACTGGCCTCCCCAGCCCGGGCCCCTCCACCTCTCAGACTGGACCCTGGCCCTTCCCCCCATGGTCCCACCTTGGACAGTATCTCATCAGTCTGGGCCTTCACCTGCTGCTCCAGATCCCGCAACCTCTTCGTCATGGTGGCCATCAGTTCCGAGTCGTGGAATACAGGGACTGCCAACCAGACAAAGTTCTAGAGCTCTGGCCTAGAGCTGAGGCTGAGGTGTGGGGGTCCAGGGGAAGGGGAAAGGGATCCCCAAGAGCGGAAATAAGAGTAATAACAACAACTGCCACTTAGATAATAGGGACTGTCCTAAATACTTTTGCTATCTCAACTCATGCAGTCCTTACACTGTGCCTCTGAAGAAACGAACTGCTTTAGGAAGGTGAGGCACAGAGAGATTCAGTCATTTGTCCAAGGTGTACGAGTAAGGGGTATGAGATAGGGGTCACATAACCTCGAAGCACTGTCCAAAAGTTCACCCTCAGTTGAATCAAGCCTCTAAATCTCACCCCTCGTTTACAGGAAATACAGCGGATGGAGGAACAAGTTAAGCAACACCCAGGGCAAACAAGCAGACAAATCGACAATGTGGGACGTTCTGCGGGACGGTGGCCTGGACTCTTCAAAAAGTCAGTGTCATGTTTTAAAAAGGTAGGGACACTGTCCTACATAACAATCAAAGGCAGTGCACAACCCTCGATTAGAACCTGGATCAGGGAAAAAAAAGAGCTCTAAGAGATATTTTGGCAGACTGGAGAAATGTGAATGCAGAAGAGCTACTAGAGAGTATTACTGAACCATTCACGTGCTAGGGTGTGGTAACTGTATTGTGGCCATGTATTTCCTTACTCTCAGAAGGTGCACATAGAAGTATTTAGAGGTAAAATGTCACGATATCTGCAATTGACTTCTACACGGTTCATCCAAAAAACCCATTGACATTCATCCATACGTGTCTAGGGACAGAGAGAAAGCAATTGTGGCAAAATGTCACTATTTGCTGAATGTAGATGGAGGACTTACAGTGTTCACTGTACTATTATTTCAACTTTTCTGAATGCTGGAAATTTTTCAAAATAAAAAGTTTAAGAAAAGGAAACATGAAAGAGACACGGGAAGCAACAGGCTCTCTTCTTCCCTGGTGTTGCTCCTTCTATGTGCGACGCTGGAACTGCAGCTGCCATTGTGCAACCAAGTGGGGCTGCCATGCCAAGGTGGCTCAGTGGAAAGATGGAGAACCCTGAACTTTTGATGATGTCTTTGAGCCACTGTATTAACAACCCTGAAGCTGCCTCCTCAGGACTTCTTGGTATGTGGGCAGTAAGTCCTCCTAAATGCTCGTGCTAGGTGAGGAAGGGTTTTCTTTGACTGGTAGTCTAAAGCTTAACGGATATAGAGACATTTGGGGACTGTCAGCACAAAGAGTGTGGATGAGCTCACTGAGGGAGAGTGAAGGGAGAGAGGAAAAGCCACACAGGGGGAACAACTCACTGAAAAGCTGAGAGGAAAAGGAGGAACTAACACTGAGCACCAAGGGGAAAGAACCTGAGAGGAGGAAGACATCTGGGAGAGCAGTGTCATGGTGACCAAGAGGCTGGGGTGATCTGAGAAGAGGGGAACAGTGAACCATGTGGAATGCTGCTGCGCGAAGACAGATAGGACACACATGTCCTTTGTGACCATGGTGGGAACAGACAGGCTGAGAGTGGGTGAGGAGCGAATGGCAGGGGAGAGGTAGAGAGAGCATGTGGACAGCTCTTTAAGGAGAGGAGCTGGTTGTTGTGGTGACTACTGAAAGTGTCCCCAGCTGGGGTGAAGGAGATCCTGGCTTTCTGACTGAATGACTGAGAGGCCAGGCTCTTTCTGCCTCCTTTTCCACCTCAATTCCCCTACCTGTAAAGTGGCGGGGTGTCTGGTAGAGGATCGCCTCATGGAATCCTTACCTCAACATCTGGCCTAGGTGTTCCCATTCCCACTTCACAGAGCAGGAAATGGAGGCAGAGGCAGGAAGTCACTTACCCAAGATATCACAGCTAGTGGAAAATTCTCACCTCATCCCCAGCTCCTCCGGACTCCCAGTTCAGACTCTGACCCTGCCCAGCACTCCACACAGCTCGTCCTGCCCACTCAGGCCTCCCCTTTGCCCAGGGCTGCTCAATCCCACCTCCTCTGGGAAGCCGCCCCAATGAGCCCCATCCTACTTCAGGCACATAGATGACTGCAGTGTCACCACAGCCCTTTGGGGTTGGTGTGGGCCAGGCAAGAGGGCTATCCAGGGGACTTCGGGCCTTGCCCAGAGCCCTGCAGAAGCAGATTTCTGGAGGCTGAGATCCACTCTCAGGCCCTTCACTCCTCTCAGGCCCTGAATCCCAGACCCACTGACATCACACTGGATAGTGACTCCAGCTGGGTCCACTCCAGAGGCTCCAGCCACAAACTGGCCCAGGTCTTGACCAGATTTCCTGAGCTAAGGGTGGGGCCCGCGTGGCTTTATGCCAAACCAAGCCCCAGACAGGTCTGGGGGTGCAGGCACACGGCCGCAGTCAGCCAGCAGTGGGAGCAGCTGCCTCAGCCACAGCAGGCAAGAGCAGGCGCCATGCCTCTCTGGACCTCACCCCTTCTCTGGGGCCCTCTCCTGCAGCTGGGGACTCAGACTTCCTCGGGCCCTGCTCTCACCTTGCCTACTCACAGGGGCACCTACGTTGCCATAGCAGGAAGGAACAGAGATCCTTTCTTCCGAGCCATGTCCGTCATTCACCATGTCCACCTCATCTTCTGCAGACAGGGATGCCCAAGTCACCGCTCTGGGGCTAAGGCCCAGAGGAAACTGGGGTCCCGGGCCTCAAGGAATTTTGGCATATGTACTCTGTCCCCCCAAGCATATGAGGATAGAAAACTTGGGATGTTGGGGAGCAAGGATCCAACCAGAACAGGTCTCTTCTTGGAGTTCTCCCAGCCTGGCTCCTGAGGGCCCTGAGTGGCCAATGGCAGCACCACGATGGGGGCAAGAGTGGGGCTGGGATGCAAAGGTCTGAGCCGGCAGGAGTCAGGGCAGCGACGTGAGGACAGGGAGAGAAGGCTGAAATGGGCTGAGGAGGCTGTCAGGGGAAGGAGAGTGGGTCTGGCCCCTCATGGGTTCTCAGCACCCACTGGCCAACCCCACAGCGGGTGGAGGGATTCAAATGTTAGTGATGACATCTCTGCTAAGGGCATGGGGCCTCCTAATCGGAGAGCTGCCAGGAGGAAGCCTTGTCCTCAGGGAGGGGTGGGGAGCTGTAGATAACATTGTAGTTGGGCAGCTGCTCTGGCTGGCAGGGGCGTTCATCATGCTCTTTCTCTCCATCTGCCCACCCAACCGCAAGGAGACCCTGCAGACGGGAGGTGAGGAGGACACGAGGGCAGAGCCCACACTTACCATCTCCGTAGATTTTTATCCCTCGCCTCCTGGGAACCCGGGCAGGAAGGAGAAGGAAGATAGACAAGTTAGGACTCCCTGGAATGTCACTGGAGGAGAGGCTCTGGGCACCAAGCCCCCAGCAGAGCCTAAAGGAGATGGAGGCTGGGCCTCTGCCTTCTGAGGACGTCTACCTGGAATCCCATCCCGGTACTGGGCGAGCCAAGGGACAAGCTTTGGGGTGTCTGACTCCTCCCAATGGTGAAAGGTGGGGACGAGCTGAAGGGCAGGGTCTTGGGGGGACAAGAGTCCCCACGCCCAAGAGGCCAGCCCCAGCTCTGTTTTGAAATGGCCGTGGGACCCCAGGCCTGTCGCTTAACCTTTCTGGATCCCCTTGGCCTTCGGATGACTCAAAGTGCTGTTCAGAAGAGCAAGGAGAGAGGTAAAAAATGCTTTTGAAAAGATGAAAGTGCTAGACAGATGTAAAGGATTCCCTTTACTGAGAGCACAGCATGTGGCCTGGCCCGGAACAGGTGCACCGTCAGTGTCTGCAGAATTGACACATGAACCATAGTAGAAAGACGGATGCTGAGCCACTCCTACAGGGCCCATTCCTTACTAGAGGCACAACCCAGGGCATGCTTACACACAACGACGAGCCCCCCAGGAGAAGATATACAGAGAAAGCTACGGTGGTCAGGGAAAGCTCCGTAATTCCTTATTGTTTTCTCCAAGCCACTAGGAGTCATTCTTCTAGTCCATGGGAGGGGCCTGGAGGAGGCAGGGCCCGGATACAAAGACCTCATGAGGCTGGCTCCTTACCCTGGATTCACAGGCTCTGACTGCAGGGGTACTCTCCGGGTCTTGCCAAGGGAGGCCAAAGGGGAGCTCATAGTTCTACTTCTAGATTCTAGCTGTCAGGAACTCCCTGAGAAGAAAGAAGTCAGCCCTCGAGAACACTCCCTCATGACCAAGAAGTGGCCTGAAACTTCTCCTTCCCTGGCTACTTTTCCCAGGAGGGAGCACTGTCCAGGGAGCAGCAGCCCTCACTTCTTCCCACTGCCCCTGCAGAAGTTTCTGGAGGCAGCTTGGCCTCAGGATCCCTGTGCTTGCTGTCTGCCTGCTCCTCTGGATTTCCAGCTTTCTGCTCCAATCCTGGAGGCCTCTGGCCTGGTAGTGCTTGGGAAAGGGTGATGCAGGGGTGGAGTGGGGGGAAGGAGGGGTGCAGAAATGGGCCAGAGCCTGAAACTTCCCCCAAACTTAGAGCCCAGGTACAAGACTACCCAGGAGGCTTGGGGCTTTTGTCCATATATCAAGGAGCTGGTCAACACAAAGCCCAGGGGTCCCCTCCTCTCCTACCAGAACCCAGGTGCCACCCCCAACATCTTAGACCCAGAGAGGGGCAACCCAGAGGCAGGACTCGACCAAGACTTGGTCCGCATGGTAGGGAGGTCAAGAGCCAGGCTCTGGACAGGTTCTGCCATCCACCAGTATAACCCGTGCCTCAGTTTCCTTTGGTGTAAAATGAGGATGGTAGGATACCAGCCAGGCAGGGTTACCCAGGGGACTCGGAGAGAACACTCATGAAGCACCTAGCCCAGTGCCACCTTCAGAGGAAGCACTTAAAACTGTGACTTGTGGCTTTTGTTGTTATTGGCACATGGAGGGCACTCATCAATGTTGGTCTCCCTCCCTTCCCTCTTCCTTCTGGAAAGATGAATGCACAGCAGGGATGTAATTAAAGGCCATACTGTATTCAGTGAATTAAGCATCTTATGTGGCTAATATCTAGAAATCCTAGAACCAAAGGACCTCCATCAGGGCCTGAGTCAAGTCTTTTGTTCACCTTGGAAATGTGTGGCACTGGCCTCCACCCTGCCTGGAGCTGCCCAGCAAGGGGACCAGTGCCGCCTGGAGGCAGCCTCCTCTGTCTTCATTCTGGAGGTTGGGACTCATGCCTGGTCCTCATGAGGAGCCCTCCAAGGACCAGGCCCAGAGTTTCCTCGCCGCCAACCATCCAGCCTCCCACATCTGCCCCCAGCCTGCCCTTGCCCCTGCCGTCTGGTCTAGGCATCCTCACGGTTTGTGTGGCCAAGTGTGACAGCCCCTCGTGGTTCCCAGTGTCCACATGCTGCCAGAGGAATCTTCTTAAACACAAAGCTGACGTGTCATTTCCCTGCTAAAAGCTCCCAATTGCTCCTTCTCACCCACAGGAAAAAGAATTCAAAATTCCTTAACACGGATGATCTGGTCCCTGCCTGTGTCTCCTGACCTCACCCTCCAGCACCCCCCCTCCTCCACATGAGCCACTCTGAACTGCCTGCCAGCTTGGCCTCAAATGCACCAGGCCTTTGCGCAAGTGGCTCCCGGCCTGGAACCCCCTCCTGGAACCGTCTCCCCACTCCTAACCGCACCCTTCCCTTGGCTAGGTTAACTCCTTTTTTTTTGTTCCTTCTTTATTTGTTCTTTAGTTATATTTTAACTTTTTACTACAAATTATTACAGATTCACAAGAAATTAGGAAAATAGTCCAGAGAGGTCCTGTATATCCTTCACCCAGTTTCCCCCAATAGTTATGTTTTTATATGAGTGTCCTTCTATGCCATTTCATCCCCTGTATGGATTCCACGTAACCACCACTGCAGTCAAGATACAAAACTAGGCGCCGGCCCGGTGGCACAAGTGGTTAAGTGCATGCGCTCCTCTGCGGCGGCCCGGGGTTCGCAGGCCCAGATCCCAGGCGCGCACCGTCGCACCGCTTGTCAGGTCATGCTGTGGTGGCATCCCATATAAAGTAGAGGAAGATGGGCACGGATGTTAGCTCAGGGCCCATCTTCCTCACCAAAAAAAAAAAAAAAAGGATACAAAACTATTCCATCACCACAAAGATCCCCCTCATGTTACTCCTTTGTAGTCACACCCATCCTCCTCCTCCAGCATCCCTAACCCCTGGCAACCACTACTCTGTTTTCCATCTCTTGTATTTTTCTTACTTCAAGAATGTTATATAAATGGAATCATACAGTATGTGAACTTCCTTTTTAAAAAAAGTTTTATTGAGATATAGTTCACATACTTAATGCTTTTAAACGTACTATTCAATGGTTTTTAGTATATTCACAGAGTTGTGAAACCATCACCACAATCAATCTTAGAATGTTTTCATCACACTAAAAAAACCCTAGGCACTGTGCTTTTAGTGGCTAGAACTGTCTTGCATGAACTCCCACCGGACCTAATTATCCTTTCCTTCTCCAGAGGATTCTCATCACCATCTCATCACCATTCTCACGACCTCTCAAAAGAAACTGGTCATAAACACAGAAATTAACAAGTGTTGGCGAGGATGTGGGGAAATTGGAACATTTGTTGGAATGCAAAATGGTGCAGCTGCTACGGAAAAGAGTCTAGCAGTATCAAAAGATTAAACAGAGTTACATTATGGCCCAGCAATTCCACTCCTAGGTATATACCCAAGAGAAATGAAAACTTACGTCTACACAAAAACTTGTATACAGTTCATAGCAGCATTATTCATATTAGCCAAAAAGTAGAAACAACCCAAATGTCCATCAACCAATGAATGGACAAACAAATGTAGTATATATCATTACAATGGAATATTATTTAGCAATAAAAAAGAAATGAAATACATGCTACAATGTGAATGGACCTTGAAAACATTACGCTAAGGGAAAAAAGTCAGTCACAAAAGACCATTGTTATGATTTCATTTATATAAAGTGTCCAGAATGGGCAAATCTACACAGACAAAGTAGATCAGTGGTTGCCTAGGGCTGGGGGCAGCTGGCGGGTAGATGGGGGTAATTGCTAAAGGGTACAGGGTTTCTTTTGAGGCTGATGAAAATGTTCTACAATTGATTGTGGTGATGGTAGCACAATTCTATGAATACACTAAAAACGACTGAAATTTACATTTTAAAGGGGTGAAGTATATGTATCTCAATAAAGCCATTATAGAAAAAAGAGAGCCGGCCCCGTGGCTTAGCGGTTAAGTGCGCGCGCTCCGCTGCTGGCGGCCCGGGTTCGGATCCCGGGTGCGCACCGACGCACCGCTTCTCTGGCCATGCTGAGGCTGCGTCCCACATACAGCAACTAGAAGGATGTGCAGCTATGACATACAACTATGTACTGGGGCTTTGGGGGAAAAAAATAAATAAATAAATAAAATTATAAAAAAAAAAAGAACAAGAAAAAAGAAGGACCTGGTCCTCAAACCAAACCCAAAATCTTCCCTCAAAATAAGCTCTCCCCACATCCCTCTTCTTAATGGGACCCCATCACCCGACCACAATTTTTTTTCTCTCCTTCCTTTTCTCTTAATCCCATCAGTTACCAAACCCTGCAGGTTAAATTCTGCTGTGTCTCTCACACACAGCCCCTCCATTCCATACCCACTGTTGGCCATGCTAGGGCGGCTCTCACTGCCCTTCTTTGGTCCCCAAATGACTTCCCTGCTTCCAGTCTCAGTTCAGGCCAATCCAACACACTGGCCAGTCTCCAGATCAATTTTCCCACGGATTATAGGCGACCCCGATACCCCTGGTGTATCTTCCCATCAGTCTGGGGACTTCTGAGCACAAGGCTGTCTCCTCCTCCCTCAGACCTGGGGGACCCTGAGGACAAAGCCATGTCTACTCCCTACAATTTGGGGGTTTCCAGGGGCGGCCTGTGTCTTCTCCCTCAGGCCAGAGGTGCCTAAAGGTTAGACTCGAGCTTTGAGGAGAAAGCTGGATGCCCCTACATCTGTGGGACCCAAGTCAGGACTGTGCTTGACTGACTACTCGACCTATTGTCCCCTCCAGGTCCCAGTGCTCTCCAGCACCGACAGGGCCCGGCCGGCTGCACGCCTTCACTCCCTAAATCCCCAGCTCGAATGCTCATGGCGCGGCTTCTGTCACCACCTAACCCCGCCCTGGGAGCCGCGTCGCCTCCTCCAGCCTCCACGCAAAGCCATGGTAGGAGGGGGCCCGAATCCGCTGCCAGGACGCGGGGGGCCTGCTGGAGGAGCTGGGCCGCGGGGCTCGCGAGTGCTCGGGGCTCTCGGGGCGAGGGTCGCAGCCTGCGTGGGGGACTCCTCAGGCAGAAAAGCCTTGGCCAGGACTCACGACGCAAGGCCACCCACCTGTCCCGCGGCGCCGCCATCTTGTTGTCACGCGGTTTCCCAGGCGACCAGGACCTGTGCGCTCCTCATTGGCTAATTCGGAGGCGTCCCTGAGCAACCAGCAGGCAGCGGAGGCGGGTACAGCCGTCCGTGCTCGAATTCTATTGGCCCACAGAGTCTAAACTCTTCGCGGGAGACTGCAAATCCCAGAATCCACCGCTCTGAGCCGACTCAGGGTCTGGAGATGGAGAGTTCATTCATACCACCCCAAGGCATAGAAAGCGAACCTGGGATTAGTTTCGTGAAGCTGCTAGAAGCCTCTGGACCTGAATGTGTAATCCCGACGATGCCACTGTTTTGCTAAATTGATTTTGGGGGAAATTACTTCTAGAGTGGGGGGCCTCTTGGCCTCTGCTTGATTCCATCCTGGGGTGGAAATTTACTGCCTGACAATTAATGGAAAGGCCCTGGAGTGGGAGGAGGGAGGTCCTGAACAAGGCTCTTTCTGGGCCTGTTTTCCCACCTGTAGGATGAGAAAGTAGACCCCAGCCCTGGAGTTAGATGGCTCTGGAAGTCTCTATTCCTGACAATGGACAGAGTCCTCTTTGCTTTTAGATCATTTGCTGAAAGACCCTTGTCAGTTATGACCTGTTTGAGGTTCAAGAGTTTATTGGGTCCTAGGAGCTCAGGAGGGAAAGGTAAATAATAAATAAGAGATGAAACTGAGGACGAAGGCGTTAAAATTTCCCTGGATTAGAATGAAACCGAACCTCTACCCACAAGGTTAACGTGAGAAACAAAGTAAACAAAGTTTCTGAGCTTGCCCTGCAGAACAGCAGGAGGACTGCTGATAAGAGAGTAGCTTGCTGACAGCCCTCAGCCTGAGTAAGCATCTCGCAGGAGTATTAAGTTAAAATGACATATTGTAAACTTTAGACATAGACTAAATATCCGCCACATGCAACACATAGAACCCCCCTCCCCCCCGCCACATTTGCACATGCGACCTATAAAGAAATATGAAAGACACTTGAGCCTGAGCAGAGGACTCTTAAAACTTCAGCCCCCAAGGCCATGTGTTCCCCCTTTCCATCTTGTTCTCACAATGTGCTTTGGAAAAAACCCTTACAACTGCACATAGGAAAGCTAATCTGTAACCAGTAGAAAAAAATCACTTGTTAGCAGAAAATTTATGTCCTCTGCCCAAACGGTTCCTGCTGTCCCAGATAAGGAAGTAACGGGTTTTCTTAGATTCCTCAGGAATATTGCACTCAGCAGATCTGCTAGGGAGAGACCCCCAAGGGTATGTGGTCATCTGTCACCTGACACTCCCGAGCCCCCTCCCCAGCCCCGTTTGCCTTATATAAGTCACTTCCAAATCAGTTCCCCTTTAAGATGATTTCTTCTAGATGATAGTCTGCCATCTTCTGACTTACTACCTCATCGCTTAAATAAAGTTTTCTCTCTCTCCACCCCTTTGCCTCTGGACTGATTGGCTTTTGTCTTGTGGTGAGCAGATCGAGCCCTTGCTCGGTAACAGAGAGAGGTCCTCTAAATCCAGGCATTCCTTCAGAATAAAAACCTGCCTCTCTCTCCCACCTTCCCCCTCTTCTCCATCCACATCACAGCTGCCTTGGATCAAGCCCTCACCACCTCTAGTTTAGCATGACATTTAGGGCCTTTGTATTATGAATCCTGCCCTCCACCCTTCTCAATGTTCCAGAAACTATCATGCTCTCTCCTATGTTAAGGCCTCTCCTTCCAGTGGGAACATCCTCCCCAAGCAGAATTACACTCTACATTCAAATAGCCCTGCTCCCATTATAGTATTTCTTATTCAGTTTTGTGATTATTTCAGTATGCATCTCCCTCTTGGACTATGAACTTCTCAGGGGAAGGGACCCTCACTCATTCATCTTGCCTGACACACAGTAGGTGTCAATAAATTGCCTGAAATGAAATAGATGAACAGATGGATGGACGGATGGATGAAAATTTACCTTCAAGTACTCTATGGTGCTATTGGATAACAGCCCTCTTTCATGGGGATGAAAGATGCAGGGCAGATCATACAATATGTGCAGCAATGCCCTTCCCCTCCCTCCATCCCTGCTGTATTCCATTCCATCATTGAGCTTAGGTACATATTGAACACTTTCCCTATGTGGGACTGTGCTAGGCCCTGGGGTCAGTCATCAAAGAACACTGTGAAACTGGGAAAGGGAGTGGTCTAAGACGTTTTGCATGCCTAGGTCCCACACAATCATCTCCTCTGAGTGGTCTTCCCAGAACACTTACCTAGAATATGTCCTCCTCCCATTTATCTTCTCTCACATCACCCTCTTGACTTCCTCATAGCATTTATTGAAATCTTAAATTACCATTATTTTTTGTTTTCCCCCATTCAAATGTCAGCTATATAAGTGCAGGGACTACTCCATTTTGTTCACTTCTGTATCCCTAGTGTGTAGACCACACAGTAGGCACTTACTATATTATGCTATAATAATGTTTTATGATCTTCCACTTCACTAATTCTCTATTTGTGTCTAATCTGGTGTTAAACCTATTCCCTGAGTTCTTAATTTCTATTATTGTATTTTTAAGTTCTAGAATTTCCATTTAGTTCTTTTCTATAATTTCCAGTTCTCGATCTTGTCTTATATGTCTTTGAATATACTAAGCATTGTTATTTGAAAATTTGGTTGATAATTCCATTACCTCAATCTTCTGTGTAACCGTTTCTATTATCTGTTGCTTCTCTTGGTTTTTTCATCATGTTGTCTTCAATTTCAGTTAGGGCTGGGCTGTTGTCTCCTGTTCACTGTTACTCCTCAGGTGTAATCTTTCATGGTCCCAACCCAAAGCCTAGTGGGGGGTGGGAGAGTTTACCAGGGCCCCCCTTTCTTAGCTGGTCTTCAACTACAGCTTATCTCCCCCAAGCCCCATAAATTTGTAGAAAACCCTACTCAGTTTCTCAGCTGTCTCTTCTGGAAGTGGCAAATACTTTTAGGGGAAAAGCAGCCCCAAATGAAGGGCTCACCTCTCCCTTCCCTCTAATTATTTTCTGCATTGGTAACTCTCCAATGCTTAGTCTGCTGTTGCCCCATAATAAGTATTTACTGACTGAATGAATACAGGCATGCAAGGCTTGGAGGTGGGAGTGAATATAAGGAAGTCACCTTCTATTCACTCATTCATTCAGCTGTCCCTGACACCTACTCTTCTCCATGTTCTGTGCTGTGCTGGGTGAGAGAGGTGACAAGACCTACCCTTAGATTATATTCTTAGCAGACACAATCTTTAGAGCAGAGGCCAACAGAAGGGGCTCTTGGAACACTGAGGAACTTCCTCCCTTTGAAGGAGTTTCCTGGGAGAAGTGGAAAGTTTCCCAGGGGAAGGGGCTTCTGAGCTAAGTCTTGAAGAACAAATAAGAGGTGGCCAGATAAAATAATTGGAGGAGGGCTTTCCTTGAAGAGAAAACATTTGAGGTATAAAAGAGCCTGGGGCAGCTGGGGAGATGCAAATTGGGTGAGGGCTAGGGTATGGTGTGTAGCGGGGTGGGGGAAGGATGTTATGGAACCCAAAACAAGATGGGAGGAAGGCAAGGGCCTTGAATTTCACACCAAGAGTTTTATCTTGATCCCTGGAGAGAGTTGCAGGAGGTGTGGACTGAGATTTCCCATCTTGCTAGTTAAGGTTCAGAAGTCACATTTGAAGAAGGTGTACAGTGGGACATTGAAGTCAAGAGATAGACTAGGTACTATCTCCAGCTCTGCCATTAACCTGCCCTTCTTGGGCCCTCAGTTTTCCTATCTGTGACATGGGAGTTTCTCTGGGCTCTTTAAGCTTTGTGACCAGTGTTCTGTCTATCCAGAATGAAATTTCATTGTCAAGACAGAATGACTGCTGAGAGGGCAGGAGAGGAAAAGATGTGAAGCCCCACTTCTTCTCTCAAGTACCAACAGACTCCAGATGCCCCTCCATGCCCCAAGTCCTGATGACCCTTAAAAACCCTTCCAGCACCCTCAAGACCCCACCACCACTAGCAGCTCAGGCTCACACCACAGCAGAGGCTCAGGATGTTGAAATGAAATTTCTGGGGTTTGTAAGAAAATTTTTACAGATATGAGCCTGGCATTTAAGCATCCTCACAGGCACCCCCAGCAGGGAGAAAGTACAACCCGGCTGGCTCCAGGGCTTAGTCCGTCCAGCTGCCTCTTCGTAAGAGGGGAGAAGATTACCCAGTGTGACAGAGCCAATTTTCAGCAGAGCAATCTTGGACATCAACATGGGCCTCCTGTTTCCTGGGCCAGTACCCTTCCAGCACCTGCTGCTTCCCTGACTCCCATGAACCCCCAGAATCACACGCCCCACAGGTGCATCAAAGGCAGCTGTGACTTGAGTCAAGGGTCAGGAGAGAGCTCTGGTAAAGGAGTTGATGGGGTGGGCAGTGATGGGTAGTTGAGGGCTCCTCCCACTTCCCACTCCCTCCTTCCCAGGGGCCTCAAAACTCCTGCCTCCTCCCTCTTCCAGGTCCTGGCTTTCTCTCACCAGTCTTGACTCTCAGTTCTTTTTTCTTTCTTTCTTTCTTTTTAACCAGGGCCGGACGTTCCTAAGAGCCCACTCAGCTTTTTCCGAAGGTTGCAACAGGAGACCTAGCCCATAACGGTAACAGGGAAATGAGAGAGTGTTTTCTTTCACTATCTGGCATGCAAATGAGGCATAAAATAGACTAAGAAAGGGAGAGTGGGTGAGGCAGGAGGGGGTGGGACAGGGAATCAAGACTTAACCCACTTCCAGGGCAGCCCGAGGTTACATACACGGCTGTGGCTTCAGACAGACCTGGATTCAAGTCAAATGAGAACATCTCCACTATGTACTACCTTGGACAAGTCACTCAATATCTAAGCCTCAGTTTCTTCATCAGGAAAATGGGGATAATTATAAAACCTACTGCAGAGTGCCACTGAGAGAATAAAGTGAGAGAATGTGTGTATAAAGAATGGAGCACCGTCCAAGCAGCTTTGTGATTCCTCTCATCCCCAACCCCTCGCTGGGACTTCACAGCCACCCCCACCC